TGTTGTGCTAACTCAGCCGTCTATGCTAACAGACCTGTAGATTTCTCACGAAAGTGGGGGCCAGTGGTCCGCTGTGATTGGTCACAATCCGCGACCCGAAACACATTCTCTTCCTTGTTTCATCAAAACTCGATCTAAAATATAATGTCACGCCAACACAAATCTGCGCTACTTTTTCTTCAAAAGGACGTATATCCCAATGCACTACATGGACATGGATAGCATTTTTGTAATGAATACAAAAATAAAGTCAGTTGGTGCAGCTTTAATAATGCTCAGATTATTCATGAGAATATGTTCTGTTATGTTTGTATAGAAAGTAAAACTTATGACTATCCAGTAAGGTTTCAATGTAAAACACACCTCTTCTAGGGCCACCATAATCTGTTATTTTGCGTCCTGCTGCTCCTCCTTTCTTCTTGAACACCTTCATTAGTTTGTTGGAGTATTGATCAACAGTATGTGCATAGTGTCTTAATCCATAATGATAATGCTTCAATTTGTAGTGTTTAAGAGACAGATACCTTGTAGAGTCTCAGTCTCAGGGCACTCCTTGCACCTCCACATTGAAAACCTGAAAAACAGAGACTGACATTAGAAATAGTTTCAGATTCATTAATTACATTTTTATTTAAAGTAGTAGTCCCTCTACAATTCACCTACATCATACTAATCATGTTTTTTGTAGTAACTGCAGACAAACCAAAATAACAAGACCCTTTAATGGAAAATGAGCATGTCCCAATCACCATGGTTTGCCTCAGATCCTGAAGATATGTAAACTTAAAATGCTTTTATTAATTTGTATTGTAAATTCTAAAAAGTATGGAACCTTATGTTGCTCGCGTCGTCAAGTAGAATTAAATGAACACCGAAGTTACCACAGTAAACACATCAAACACACTCAATGTAAATAATTCTTTAAACACAGGTAAAACCAATTACGATAACAAAAATATACAACTAACACATGTTTTGTTATATTTGTAGAGAACTCGGAAGCGAAAGTCTGTCCACTGCAATAGTCCGGGTGAAAAATGGACCGTTCCGGGTTACCGTGCACGCACAGACACTACTAATCATGCAATACGGAACGGCACGCCTATCCGTAACACACAGCTCTTCACACCTTAGTTTATAACCTTGGCATAGCCATCATTTCGAGTGAAAACGTTACAATACTGCGCACACGCCTTGTACTGATTGAATTAGCTAATTCAATATATTCAACAATAATTGAAATAACAGCTAAACATAATCCATGTTGAAGATGAAAGTTCTGATCAATAATCATAACTATGACATGAACGTTACTTCTAACAACAGTTGAGGCGAGAAATGCGACCCTTAAGGTCATTTTGGTGATTTATTTAGTGGCATAATGATAGGTTGGACTAGCGGGGAGCTCCGCATGTGGCAGAAGCTAGCGTTAGCTGTTAGCAGCTATCAGCTGCTGTGTTTGCAGCGCCATTATGGTGAAAGCATGGTCGGCAAGTCACTGTTGCATCGACGCAACTGGAAAAAAGAGAAACTAACACTGCTTACCTTGAATGCCCAAGATCAAATTATAATGTGTTTAGTTATAAGTAAATCATACAACATTACCATGGAAAACCTCCGATAGTCTAGCAATGACTATGTTCCAAAATGAACGACAAAAGACACAACCACTATTGAAAATTACACCATACCGTTTCATGCTGTATAGTCAAAGAAGCGTCTTACTTACCAAAATGACGAGGATTTTTGACCACTCACAGTTGTGTCTTTTCAAATGGCTCTCACTCTGTTCGCGGTCAGTGGCAAGCTCTCGGTTGCAAGGGTTGCCAGATACGGCAAGATTTTCCTGCCCAAAACCCGCGAGAATCCCAACAAAAAACCACCCAAAATGATATTTTTGCGAAAAAAAAAAGTTATGGAATCAACTTAGAATATCAGGATACTGTTTATGGCCGTTTTATCCATTAATTAACTACAAGATACTTGGAACAAAAGTATGCGGGGAACCGCCCATCTGGCAACCTTGACAACTACGCATGTCTGCGTCATTGCGTCACAGCGTCATTGCGTACATGTTTTGTTTACGTGAAAGAGTTAGGTTGGTTTTAAACATATGTACTGTTTAGCTCTGAAATCTGTTGCTTTTGTGTTATACCAATGCAATATTGATATGTTTTCTGTAGAAACATAAGAAACACATTAATTTCACTTCAACCATTTCACATAAAGTGCACAACATCACTCTTTCACTTCTTAGAGTGTGGCCTCTCTCTCTCTCTAGTCTCTCTCTCTGGTCTCTCTCTGGTCTCTCTCTCTCTGGTCTCTCTCTCTCTCTGGTCTCTCTCTGGCCTCTCTCTGGTCTCTCTCTCTCTCTGGCCTCTCTCTGGTCTCCCTGGTCCCTCTTTGGTCTCTCTCTGGTCTCTCTGGTCTCCCTCTGGTCTGTTTCTGGTCTCTCTCTGGTCTCTCTCTCTGGTCTGTTTCTGGTCTCTCTCTGGTCTCTCTCTCTGGTCTGTTTCTGGTCTCTCTCTGGTCTCTCTCTCTGGTCTGTTTCTGGTCTCTCTCTGGTCTCTCTTTCTGGTCTGTCTCTGGTCTGTTTCTGGTCTCTCTCTGGTCTGTCTCTGGTCTGTTTCTGGTCTCTCTCTGGTCTCTCTTTCTGGTCTGTCTCTGGTCTGTTTCTGGTCTGTCTCTGGTCTCTTTCTAGTCAGACCATAGTTGACCTTGAGTTGTTGGCTCACTGAGCTAGCGTGTTAGCATCGTCCCTCTATAATACACAGTCTAACTATGGCACTAACTCAAGTTTCTCAAATGGTATATTATTCTGGTTTTTTTAAAATCGTGGCATGATTTAAAACATTTGCAAGAGAAAAGAGACAAAAAGCACAAACCAAAAAGACGGACAAACATTTGCTGACTTGCTTTAAAGAGGATGGAGTCTTGAGTCTTCTTCTGTCGCAGCTGCAGGACTTAGTTACTGTAATATTAAAAGTTGAAGCTGAATTAGCGAGTTTCTTCTGAGTGAAAACTTTTTCTTCTGAGTGAAAACTGTGAGAGAAATGGTCTTAACGCGGCGTGAGTCGAGTCTAGATACGGCTCAGTTGGACGTTATCAATCCTACATTAGCCGTGCTGCTAATCTCTGCCAAAATAGGCTGCTTTTAACTCCGGCCCCTGCTCTGAGCTCTTTCCAAACTCTTGTCTTCCTATTTTCACACGAGTTCAGATCAATTTCAGGCTCCAGTGACGTACGTGTGTAAAAAGAGCAGTTTGAATATTCACAGCCACAATCTGGGCTTTGAGCTTCAGTGATGGAGAAGCCGCTGATTCCACTCCAGTTAGAATCATGTTGTTTGAAACGCTCCGCAGACAAAGCAACGGGAAAAAGTAATGAAAATGTGTCGTGTCTGAGTGGAATGTTAGTTTCAGACGGAAAGTCGACGAGATGTTTTATTTGTGTTGTTTTGGTTCTTAAAAAATCCATCTAATGCTTTCAAAACCGTTTGTTTCAATCACTAGTTTTTACATCGTGTTTTTGGCCTCTGTCGATTCGTTAGATCTGGGTTTTCAGACAGAAACGTGAAACGGAGAGAGAAACCATAGAGAGAGACCAGAGAGAGAGGCCAGACAGAGAGGCCAGAGAGAGAGGCCAGAGAGAGAGACCAGAGAGAGAGACCAGAGAGAGAGACCAGACAGAGAGGCCAGAGAGAGAGGCCAGAGAGAGAGGCCAGAGAGAGACACCAGAGAGAGAGGCCAGAGAGAGAGGCCAGAGAGAGACACCAGAGAGAGAGGCCAGAGAGAGAGGCCAGAGAGAGAGGCCAGAGAGAGAGGCCAGAGAGAGAGGCCAGAGAGAGAGACCAGAGAGAGAGACCAGAGAGAGAGACCAGAGAGAGAGACCAGAGAGAGAGACCAGAGAGAGAGACCAGAGAGAGAGGCCAGAGAGAGAGACCAGAGAGAGAGGCCAGAGAGAGAGACCAGAGAGAGAGACCAGAGAGAGAGACCAGAGAGAGAGGCCAGACAGAGAGGCCAGACTTTAGATAATGTTGTGTTAAACTTGAGGTTATTATATAATGTTGGACAAACACAAATGTGACTAATATTGTGGTAAATGAACCTGTGTCTGGACCTTCTCTGCAGATATTCAAACATTTGTTGTGGAAAAGCTAATATTGGACATTTCTCCTGGGTCTAAAACGGTTCTCTCTGTGTTTGACATTTGCTACATTAGCGTCACGGCGGCGGCGGCGGTGCTTTAGCAGGTGCCAAAAGCAGCGTTTGAAAATCAACATCTGTGCGGTGACAAATGAAGCTCCTCTGCAGCTGTTTAGTGCGAAGGAAGTGACAAGAGCCGAGGAACACAAAGAAGCAGAAATGTCAAATAGATCCACAGCTTTGGGTTCCACAGCGATGGGAACATGGCACCAGAGCAAGGCAACACAGGAATTTCTACATGTAATGGGATGGGTTCAGTGCTGTGTTAGCTTAGCAACTCAGCTAACTAGGTAAGACAGTACAATCCCACGACCAGGAAAAGTTATGAATAATTAATAGATTTATAATTATGTATAAATCAAAGTCATCCAAACCATTACATTATCATTTTTCTGTCATAAAAAAAGAAACCTTGGAGCAAATTTCTCTGGTTACTTTGACTCCACCAATACATGTCTTAAACCTACAGTGACACAACCCAAAATATATATTGTAGACCAGAGAGAGAGACCAGAGAGAGAGACCAGAGAGAGAGACCAGAGAGAGACCAGAGAGAGACCAGAGAGAGACCAGAGAGAGACCAGAGAGAGACCAGAGAGAGACCAGAGAGAGACCAGAGAGAGACCAGAGAGAGACCAGAGAGAGACCAGAGAGAGAGCAGAGAGACTATAGAGGGAGAGAAGAGAGACCAGAGAGAGAGAGACCAGAGAGAGAGACCAGAGAGAGGGACCAGAGAAAGAGACCAGAGAGGTTTGGTCCAGAGATATGACCCTGGACCTGTGTGTCTTTCTGCAGTTGGCCATGACTCATCCTAGTCACCACCTGAACTTTGGCATGAACCCGGACCACGCCCGGAACTCTCTGTCCAACTGTGGCATCCGACAGCCCAAGTACGGGGACCGCAAGGTGCACCACATGTACATGAGGAAGAAAGGTGAGGAGTAGCTCTCTCTCTGCTCTCTCTCTGCTCTCTCTCTGCTCTCTCTCTGCTCTCTCTCTGCTCTCCCTCTGCTCTCTCTCTGCTCTCTCTCTGCTCTCCCTCTGCTCTCCCTCTGCTCTCTCTCTCTGCTCTCTCTCTTTGCTCTCTCTGCTCTCCTTCCGCTCTCCCTCTGCTCTCTCTCTGCTCTCTCTCTCTGCTCTCCCTCTGCTCTCTCTCTGCTCTCTCTCTGCTCTCCTTCCGCTCTCCCTCTGCTCTCTCTCTGCTCTCTCTCTCTGCTCTCCCTCTGCTCTCTCTCTGCTCTCTCTCTGCTCTCCTTCCGCTCTCCCTCTGCTTTCCCTCTGCTCTCTCTCTGCTCTCCCTCCTCTCTCCCTCCTCTTTCACCGCTCTCTCCTTTATTTCAGGCATAAACACACTGATTAACATCATGTCCCGACTGGGCCAGGACGACCCCTCCCCCTCCAGGTAAGTGTCCCCATGTGGAGCTGCATCTGCCCCCCCCCCCCCCCCCCTGTGTGCCCCTCTATCTAACCCCCTATCTCACCCATCTCCCCCATGCCTCCCACCCCTCAGCCCAGGCCCAGTCACGCTGGGTCACGAATTAAGTCCGACTGTGAGGAAACACTTCTCTGAGGGAAAAGTAATCAGAGTTTTAACAGGTTTCAGAAATAAAGGATTCAAACAGAACAGACTCTACCATCGTGCACCAGAGGGAGACCAGAGGGAGACCAGAGAGGGGACCAGAGAGAGACCAGAGAGGGGACCAGAGAGAGACCAGAGAGAGAGACCAGAGAGAGACCAGAGAGAGACCAGAGAGAGACCAGAGAGAGACCAGAGAGAGACCAGAGAGACACCAGAGAGAGACCAGAGAGAGAGACCAGAGAGAGAGACCAGAGAGAGAGACCAGAGAGAGAGACCAGAGAGAGAGACCAGAGAGAGAGACCAGAGAGGGGACCAGAGAGAGACCAGAGAGGGAGACCAGAGAGAGACCAGAGAGAGACCAGAGAGAGACCAGAGAGAGAGACCAGAGAGAGAGACCAGAGAGAGAGACCAGAGAGAGAGACCAGAGAGAGAGACCAGAGAGGGGACCAGAGAGAGACCAGAGAGGGAGACCAGAGGGAGACCAGAGAGAGACCAGAGAGAGACCAGAGAGAGACCAGAGAGAGACCAGAGAGAGACCAGAGAGAGACCAGAGAGAGACCAGAGAGAGAGACCAGAGAGAGAGACCAGAGAGAGAGACCAGGGAGGGGACCAGAGAGGGGACCAGAGAGAGACCAGAGAGAGACCAGAGAGAGAGACCAGAGAGAGAGACCAGAGAGAGAGACCAGAGAGAGAGACCAGAGAGAGAGACCAGAGAGAGAGACCAGAGAGAGAGACCAGAGAGAGAGACCAGAGAGAGAGACCAGAGAGAGAGACCAGAGAGAGACCAGAGAGAGACCAGAGAGAGTCCAGAGAGGCTGTAGTTCCTCTCATTTGCGTCAGTTAATTTGATATTTTCTGTCTTTCCAACTTTTGACTAAACTTTTTGCAGTAATTTTTCCCATAATCATCCAATTAAAAGTGTAAAAATAGTTAATCGCGACTGGAGCGCCTCGTTGGGTGTTATTGTTACACTTCGTCGTCGCTGTTAAAATATCTGTTTAAAAAATAATGAGTTTTAACAAATATTTACATTATTGTTAATTGCCCCCCATTTCTGCACAGAATCAACCACAACGAGAGACTGGAGTTTTTGGGCGACGCTGTGGTGGAGTTTCTGACCAGGTGAGGCGCTAGTCCTGGTTCAGACCTGGTTCAGACCTGGTTTAGACCTGGTTCAGACCTGGTTTAGACCTGGTTCAGACCTGGTTTAGACCTGGTTTAGACCTGGTTTAGACCTGGTTTGGATCTGGTTTAGTCCTGGGGCAGACCTGGTTTAGTCCTGGTTTAGTCCTGATTTAACTCTGTGAGTCGTTTTGACTTTGTGTGAAATATCAGGTCCAAAAACACAGACTGTTCAGACGGATGAGGCTAACCTGCTAGCTCAATGATGCCCAATGAGGAAGTGCTCATGTGTGAAGTTTTGCTCCATCTCTCTCTGGCTCCTATTGACTTCCTTGTTAAAGTAAACTTCTCTCGCTCACTAACGTTTGTGTGACATCACCATTTTGGGTTTATATCTGTGTTTTCTCTGTGATCCTGTGTTTATATGTGATGATGTCTTTGTAACCACACACCATGACCATATAAGGACTGACCAACTCAAGGTAGCCTTAGCAACTGTCTTAGGAAACGTCTTAGCAACCGTCTTTGCAACCGTCTTTGCAACTGTCTTTGCAACCGTCTTTGCAACCGTCTTTGCAACCGTCTTGGCAACCGTCTTTGCAACCGTCTTGGCAACCGTCCTAGCAACCTTCTCAGCAACCGTCTTAGCAACCGTCTTAGGAAACGTCTTAGCAACCGTCTTTGCAGCTGCCTTAGCAACCGCCTTAGCAACCGTCTTAGGAACCGTCTTAGCAACTGCCTTAGCAACTGCCTTAGCAACCGTCTTTACAACCGTCTTAGCAACCGTCTTTGCAACCGTCTTAGCAACTGCCTTAGCAACTGCCTTAGCAACCGTCTTAGCAACCGTCTTAGCAACTGTCCTACCAACCGTCTTAGCAACTGTCCTAGCAACCGTCTTAGCAATCGTCTTAGGAAACGTCTTAGCAACTGTCCTAGCAACCGTCTTAGCAATCGTCTTAGGAAACGTCTTAGCAACTGTCCTAGCAACCGTCTTAGCAACTATCTTAGCAACCCTCCTCCACTTGTTGCTAATTGCTCAGACGTCTTCCGTGTAGAACTCGTGTCACCATTATAGCGGTATCTAACTCACAGACTTCAGGAGACCGCGGAGCCGAGAGCAAAAATAATTATGCAACACTTTTATCGATCCGAGGGAAAGACAGAAAGAGAAATCAGCTGGATCTGTCCAGGAGGATGGAAGTGGGTTATTGTAAAAGGTTGGAAATGAATAGATTTACACCGTGGCAATGCCTGACGTTATGTCAAAATAAGTCTCTGGAGAACTCTGGGTTTTCTTATTCTTTACCCTCATGTGGAGTAATGGTAGTTATGCACTGGCACACTGGCCCTCACCACACTCTATACACTACAGGTCTCTCTCTGCTCTCTTGTCTCTCTCTCTGGTCTCTTGTCTCTCTCTCTGGTCTCTCTCTCTGGTCTCTCTTTCTGGTCTCTCTCTGGTCTCTCTCTGGTCTCTCTCTGGTCTCTCTTTCTGGTCTCTCTCTGGTCTCTCTTTCTGGTCTCTCTCTGGTCTCTCTCTGGTCTCTCTCTGGTCTCTCTCTCTGGCCCCTAACTTAGACAGGATGAGAGAGAGGTATGTTTCTTATATTATCCAAAAATAACCTCCTCTCAGTATCTTTAAGTCTGTGTTAAGTAAAAAAAAACGATATTTACGATTAATCTTTGAACTAGTCACAGACAAACAAGACTGTATTTCTTTTGGGGAAAAATGTTGTAACATGTTTAAAAGCTCGAGAAGGAGACGTTTACATCATATTTTCTGTTATTTTGAGAAGGACAAACTTTTAAGCAGCCGGATTAGCGCTCTCGGGAGGCAGCTGCGGCTTCACTCGGCAGTAAACCGTGGCGGGCGGCGGCCTCCCTCTGGCGGCGCCGCTGTTAGACCTCACACTCGCTCGGCCTTCGCTCTTTTGGACCTCTGCATTATTTATCACCGTCTTGTCCAGTTAAACGGCTGCGGCGGATTCGGCCAGCTGCCTCCCCAGAGCAGACAAAACTCAGCCTAGTCTGCAGAGGGGGAGGAAGAGGGGGGGGAGGAGGACGAGGAGGAGGATGAGGAGGAGGAGCAGGAGGAGGAAGGGGGGGAGGAGGATGAGGAGGAAGGGGGAGCAGGAGGAGGAAGGGGGAAGGAGGAGGTGGGTGAGGAGGAGGAGATGATGCAAGAACTACAGCCGTGGTAGTAATGCTGTGACCTTCTCCACTGCAGGAGAAACTAAGTCCATTTTATACATTGGAAGGTTTTACTGAGTCTGAAATAAAATATGAGGAAATCTATGAGAGATTAGTGTAGTAGTAGCAGCAGCAGTAGCAGTAGCAGTAGTAGTAGTAGTAGTCGTAGTCGTAGTCATCGTCGTAGTCGCAGTAGTACTAGTAGTCATTGTAGTAGTAGTAGCAGTAGCAGTAGTAGTCATTGTAGTAGCAGTAGCAGTAGCAGTAGTAGTAGTAGTCATTGTAGTAGCAGTAGCAGTAGTAGTAGTAGTCATTGTAGTAGCAGTAGTAGTAGTAGTCATTGTAGTAGCAGTAGCACTACAGTTGTATTTCAAACTTTCAGTGAAGTTTGTCCCAAACGAGCTTCCGTCTCTCAGCTCCAGTCCTCCTCCATTAAACCAAATGACTCCGGATTAATTCCAATTGCTTTGTTTTCACACTCTGGCGACGCGGGCCGCCCATCAGCTGATCCTGCGGTGGGTCTGGACCAAACGCTGCCACCTCCTTTTCTCACTTTGCCGTTGATTAAAAATGACTGAAATAAATGGAGTGTTTTAATTCGGATCAAATTGAATCATACGGTTTGGTGGCAACGAGGGGAGCGGAAGGAGCAGCTGTGAGGCCAGAGGAGCCGAGACACGACCAGAGAGAGAGAGAGAGAGAGAGGGCAGAGAGGGAGAGACCAGAGAGAGAGGGCAGAGAGGGAGAGACCAGAGAGAGAGGGCAGAGAGGGAGAGGGCGGAGAGGGAGAGACCAGAGAGAGAGGGCAGAGAGGGAGAGACCAGAGAGAGAGAGGGTAGAGAGGGAGAGACCAGAGAGGGAGAGACCAGAGAGAGAGAGGGCAGAGAGGGAGAGGACAGAGAGGGAGAGACCAGAGAGAGAGAGGGCAGAGAGGGAGAGGCCAGAGAGGGAGAGGCCAGAGAGGGAGAGGCCAGAGAGGGAGAGACCAGAGAGGGAGAGACTAGAGAGAGAGAAACCAGAGAGAGAGAGACTAGAGAGAGCGAGCGAGGGACTGAGGGGTTTAAGCCTAGTCTCTCCCTATAGTCTAATACTAAGTGGTCTCTCCCTATGGTCCAATACCATGTGGTCTCTCCCTATGGTCCAATACCATGTGGTCTCTCCCTATGGTCCAATACCATGTGGTCTCTCCCTATGGTCCAATACCATGTGGTCTCTCCCTATGGTCCAATACCATGTGGTCTCTCCCTATGGTCTAATATACCGTGTGTATTTTCTGTGTCTTAACTGTTGATTCTCTGATCTGTGTTGGTGATTTCAATGGTTTGGTTCAGTCTCTGAGATGATGCTGTTGTGTTGTGTTGTTTTGTATTGTATTGTACCTGAGAGTGTGTGTCTGATCTGTGGGTGTGGTCTCTCCTCAGTGTGCACCTGTATTACCTGTTCCCCAGTCTGGAGGAGGGAGGGCTGGCCACCTACAGAACAGCCATCGTTCAGAACCAGCACCTGGCCATGCTCGCCAAGGTACATCCCCTACTCACATTAGCAGTAACAGCAGTAACAGCAGTAACAGCAGTAACAGCAGTAACAGCAGTAACAGCAGTAACAGCAGTAACAGCAGTAACAGCAGTAACAGCAGTAACAGCAGTAGTAGCAGTAACAGCAGTAACAGCAGTAACAGCAGTAACAGCAGTAACAGCAGTAACAGCAGTAACAGCAGTAACAGCAGTAACAGCAGTAACAGCAGTAGTAGCAGTAACAGCAGTAACAGCAGTAACAGCAGTAACAGCAGTAACAGCAGTAACAGCAGTAACAGCAGTAACAGCAGTAACAGCAGTAACAGCAGTAACAGCAGTAACAGCAGTAACAGCAGTAACAGCAGTAGTAGCAGTAACAGCAGTAACAGCAGTAACAGCAGTAACAGCAGTAACAGCAGTAACAGCAGTAACAGCAGTAGTAGCAGTAACAGCAGTAACAGCAGTAACAGCAGTAGTAGCAGTAGCAGCAGCAGCAGCGGTAGTTTCTGTAGTAGTAGGATAGAGTTGAAACGATGCAACACTGACATTTCCATCTGTGGATCTCTTCTTCTCTGCTTTACGTCTGTATAAAACCTGAACAGTTTATTTCAGAGTCAGTGAATCCACAGCTGCACATCAAGTCGGTCTCCTCCAGCTCCACTCTGCTCCTACAAGCTCGGCCTTTTTTACTTCTGAAGGTTCTTTCTTCGTCTGTTTTCGCGCGCTCCCTCGTGCGCGCTCCCTCGTGCGCGCTCCCTTGTGCGCGCTCCCTCGTGCGCGCTCCCTCGTGCGCGCTCCCTCGTGCGCGCTTCCTCGTGCGCGCTCCGTTCGCACAGCGCCGGTTTGCTCGTTGGCAAAGTGCAAATAACCGCCGAGTGAAGAAAGCAATTAAAAAGTCCCTCTTTTCGAGCCGCTCCCCGCTGAACACAAACACTCGTCCGGATCGGCATCAGCTCCGCCTCGGTGTAGAAACATTTATTTATTTATTATTTTAATTCATTTGCTGCTTTGCGAAAGGAAAGATGCGTGCGCTGCCAAGTTGTTTACCACTCCAAAAGTCTCCAACACACAATTAACAGTCGTAAAAATATCTTGAGAAGAGCATTCCAGGGGCACTCCACTCCCGTTGGACGCGGAGCGGAGTCAGGAGTTGGATTGTGGAGCTAATTTGGGGAAACCATCACGGGGGGTGTGCGCCTCCAACCGATCACCGGAGTAATTAAGCAGCTCCCGCCTGCTTCCCATCGAGGAGGCAGAGTGGTGCCGAGTGGTGCCGTGCCAGGACAAAAGTCTCAGCTCCAATGAAGCAGACGGAAAGTTTGAGAGACTACATATTGTTGACAAAGCGACTCAGGCTGTAGATAAAGGACTGAGGCTGTAGACGCAGGACTGAGGCTGTAGGACCCAGGACTGAGGCTGTAAGACCCAAGACTGAGGCTGTAGACCCAGGCCTGAGGCTGTAGACCCAGGCCTGAGGCTGTAGACCCAGGCCTGAGGCTGTAGACCCAGAACTGAGACTGTAAGACCCAAGACTGAGGCTGTAGACCCAGGACTGAGGCTGTAGACCCAGGACTGAGGCTGTAGACCCAGGACTGAGACTGTAAGACCCAAGACTGAGGCTGTAGACCCAGGACTGAGGCTGTAGACCCAGGACTGAGGCTGTAGACCCAGGACTGAGGCTGTAAGACCCAGGACTGAGGCTGTAGACCCAGGACTCTTGAACTTAAGGCAAAAACACAACTTCCCCCTTCTGTCTAAAAGCTCCTTTTTCAAACATTTTCTAAAAGTTATATTTGACTAGAATGAGTCTGACCAGAATGAGTCTGACTACAGAAGTCTCTAGGAAGAAGAAATTTACAGTATTTTCTTCAGCAAGGTTCTGGGTTCGATTCTACCTCCAGGCCTTTCTGTGTAGAGTTTGCATGTTCTCTCTGTGCCTGTGTAGGTTCCAGTTGGCCTTAACACAATAAACATGTACAATAGATCTGACCTGCTCCATCTCTGTGTGAAGGGAGACACATGTCCTCAGGAACTGTCAAGCATTTAAATAAACATTACTATATTTAGCATAAAGGACAATGTTGAGACAGGAGCCATAGAACTTGGACGCACATATACCACTTATGTATGTGTGTGTATGTGTATATATATATATATATATATATATATATATATATATATATATATATATATATATATATATAAAATGTACAGTGGGGCAAAAAAGTAGTTAGTCAGCCACCGATTGTGCCAGTTCTCCCCCACTTCCCCAATGACAGAGGTCTGTAATTTTCATCATAGGTTCACTTCCACTTTGAGAGACAGAATGTGAAAAAAATCCAGGTATTCACATTGTAGGATTTTTAAAGAATGTATTTGTTGGAAAATAAGTATTTGGTCAATAACAAATTCAACTCAATACTTTGTAATATAACCTTTGTTGGCAATAACAGAGGTCAAACGATTACTATAGGTCTTTACCAGGTTTGCACACACAGTAGCTGGTATTTGGGCCCATTCCTCCATGCAGATCTTCTCGAGAGCAGTGAACATGGACTTTCAACTCCCTCCACAGATTTTCAATGGGGTTGAGGTCTGGAGACTGGCTAGGCCACTCCAGGACTTTCAAATGCTTCTTACAGAGCCACTCCTTCGTTGCCCGGGCGGTGTGTTTGGGATCATTGTCATGCTGGAAGACCCAGCCACGTTTCATCTTCAAAGCTCTCACTGATGGAAGGAGGTTTTGGCTCAAAATCTCACGAGACATGCCCCCATTCATTCTTTCTTTAACACGGATCAGTCGTCCTGTCCCCTCAGCAGAAAAACAGCCCCAAAGCATGACGTTTCCACCCCCATGCTTCACAGTAGGTATGGCGTTCTTAGGATGCAACACCGTATTCTTCTTCCTCCAAACACGACGAGTTGAGTTTATACCAAACAGTTCTACTTTGGTTTCATCTGACCACATGACATTCTCCCAATCCTCTTCTGTATCATCCATGTGCTCTCTGGCAAACTTCAGAAAGGCCTGGACATGCACTGGCTTCAGCAGGGGGACACGTCTGGCACTGCAGGATTTGATTCCCTGTCGTCGTAGTGTGTTACTGATGGCAACCTTTGTTACTTTGGTCCCAGCTCTCTGCAGGTCATTCACCAGGTCCTGGGTGGTTCTGGGATTTTTATCACCGTTCTCATGATCATTTTGACCCCACGGGATGAGATCTTACGTGGAGCCCCAGATCGAGGGAGATTATCAGTGGTCTTGTATGTCTTCCATTTTCTGATAATTGCTCCCACAGTTGATTTGTTCACACCAAGCTGCTTGCCTATTGTAGATTCACTCTTCCCAGTCTGGTGCAGGTCTACAATTCTTTTCCTGGTGTCCTTCGACAGCTCTTTGGTCTTGGCCATAGTGGAGTTTGTGACTGTTTGAGGCTGTGGACAGGTGTCTTTTATACAGGTAACAAGTGGAGGACAGAAGAGCTTCTTAAAGAAGTTACAGGTCTGTGAGAGCCAGAGATCTTCCTTGTTTGAAGTAACCAAATACTTATTTTCCCCCATAATTTACAAATAAATTCTTTAAAAATCCTACAATGTGAATTCCTGGATTTTTTTTCTTCACATTCTGTCTCTCACAGTTGAAGTGAACCTATGATGAAAATTATAGACCTCTGTCATTATTTTAAGTGAGAGAACTTGCACAATCGGTGGCTGACTAAATACTTTTTTGCCCCACTGTATATACAGAATGGTATGTGTGTTCAAGTTCTATGGCTCCTGTCTCAACACACACACACACACACACACACACACACACACACCCTCAGCTGCTCTGAGGGTTCAGGATGTGTGTCGTGTCTCAGGGCGACTGGAGTTTGGGCCGTTTGCCTCGTGCTCATCGGTCCCAGAGTCACATCTGTCTCACAGAGAAACCAACAGAGCTGCCAACTACACAGTTGCTTCACCTCCTCCTTCTCCTCCTCTTCTTCCTCCTCTTCTCTCTTTTCTCACACTCAAATGCAAAGTCAATTACAGGCCAATGTGTGTGTACCTGTGTGTACTTGTACCAATGCTTTCAAAGACCCACATTATATATTTCCAGAGTAGAGTAATGCAGGGTAATGTGTGGTTCTGAAGCTGTCCTTTCGTCCTCTCGGGGTCAGGGCTGAGGTCAGGGCTGAGGTCAGGGCTGAGGTCAGGGCTGAGGTCAGGGCTGAGGTCAGGGCTGAGGTCGACGTTTGCAGCACTTTTTTTTTGGTCTTTTTACATTGTTCATTATCACAAACTAAGGTCTCCCCAAACACTGCTCAGACTCCTGCGGTTCTGTCGACAGTGGAAGAGACTGGCCTCCTGCTGGTGCTGGGGTCAGGACTAAAGATGTTCAGATTCATGCTAAACTTGGAACAGTCTTCCTGAAAATGTGAGACACTTTTTCTCTGACAATGTTCAAATCCAGGTTAACATATTTCTGTTTCTGCATCAACTACAAGATTTTTCTTTTCACTCTTTTTAATGTTTTAGACTTTTCTACATAGTTCCAATGGCTGTAGTTTGGAAGTTTCGTAGTCCAGCTTTAAGAATACACTAAACAGAAAAAGCCAAAGACATCAGCCAACATCAGCTCTAGGAGGAGGCTCCTCTAAAGAGATAAGAATTCCTTTATTCGTCCCACAGTGGGGAAATTTCAATGTTGCAGCGCACAGACAGGACAGTAGTAAGAGCACACAGGGAGCACACAATATACAAGTAAGCAGTAGCTATGTTTCTTAGCTAATATAACTAGCTGTAGATGCTGAAAATGCTTCAATACCAGTCAACAAATATATACATGATTTAAGAATTTACTTATTTACAGATGAATGAAATTTACAGGCTCAGCTGTTCTTATTGTACAGTCTGACAGTAGCAGGAAGGAAAGACCTACGGAACCTCTCCTTCACACAGCGAGGGTGAATTAAAGCACAGCTCCTGATGGAGGAGGTTCTAAAGCACTGCTCCTGATGGAGGAGGCTCTAAAGCACTGCTCCTGTTGGAGGAGGTTCCTCTAAAGCACTGCTCCTGATGGAGGAGGCTCCTCTAAAGCACTGCTCCTGATGGAGGAGGCTCCTCTAAAGCACTGCTCCTGATGGAGGAGGCTCCTCTAAAGCACTGCTCCTGATGGAGGAGGCTCTAAAGCACTGCTCCTGTTGGAGGAGGTTCCTCTAAAGCACTGCTCCTGATGGAGGAGGCTCCTCTAAAGCACTGCTCCTGATGGAGGAGGCTCCTCTAAAGCACTGCTCCTGATGGAGGAGGCTCCTCTAAAGCACTGCTCCTGATGGAGGAGGCTCCTCTAAAGCACTGCTCCTGATGGAGGAGGCTCCTCTAAAGCACTGCTCCTGATGGAGGAGGCTCCTCTAAAGCACTGCTCCTGATGGAGGAGGCTCTAAAGCACTGCTCCTGATAAAGGAGGCTCTAAAGCACTGCTCCTGTTAGAGGAGGCTCTAAAGCACTGCTTCTGATGGAGGAGGCTCCTCTAAAGCACTGCTCCTGTTGGAGGAGGCTCCTCTAAAGCACTGCTCCTGATGTTTGACCTCTGACCCCTGGAGCGTGGCGTGGCCTAATCTTTCTGCACACTTGTTAATAATTTTGTGTGTTTGCAGAAGCTGGAGTTGGATCGTTTCATGCTCTACGCTCACGGCCCCGACCTGTGCCGAGAGTCCGACCTGCGGCACGCCATGGCTAACTGCTTTGAGGCCCTCATTGGTGAGTCCAGACTCCAGACTGTTTGGGTCTCTCTACTCTACTTAGCCTGGTCTTACCACACCATGGTACTCATTTCATTTGCTACTAAGGTCTGGATTTGCTCCACTGACTCCGTTAACAGGTGGGAGGGGTTAGGGTTACTGTGACGTATGTAATGAGCCCGAGTGAGTGAGGCATATAGCATTTAGCCTAGCTTTAGCATTTAGCCTAGCTTTAGCTATCTCCTTTGTCGCTAACGGAGCCTGTGGGGAGTAGAGCCACCACATCTTTGTAGCAGACATTTGCTAAACATTCCTCTTGCTCTAGCTTCAGTTTCTTGATTGAACCAGATCTATTCACATAAACGTTTCTGGACAGTCATCCCGCTCCTGTGCGTTTGTTCTTGGACTGTTTTGGACTGTTTGATTCTCTGATTTGTTGTTGGTGAATCGTAAACTGTTGTGATATAGGGTGATGCACAAATACTGTCGTTTTCTCCTGAGCTAAAACTCCTGAAGTCTTTCTAAAACACATTTCTGACTGTAATGAGGAGAGAATGTGTCTGTCCTGTTCTTAATGAGCCCTCAGCCCAAGTTCCTTTTGAAAGTGTAAAGTGATGAATAAACACATCTGTGTAGTACAGGAGGCGTGTGTCAGCTCGCCCCCCCACAGCGAGGCCTCTCTTTGGGACTCAAAGCTTTGTGCTCCCCCGCCTCCCCCATCTCCCCTGTCTCCCCCCGTCTCCCCCATCTCCCGGAGCGAGAGCAGATCAACGCATTCAAAGTCACTTTCTACTGTCTCGGTGTAAAAACATCAGGACTCTGTGAGAAAGCTTCGATATAAGGACGAGGACCAGAAACCAAAGGAGAGACCAGAGCTGAAGGAAAAGGATGTGTTGATGCGACATCACAACCTCCTAAAGAGAACTATAGCCCTGTTTCCACCAACCCTGCTCTACTGTACTCTACTCTACTGCACTCTACTGTACTCTACTGCACTCTACTGTACTGCACTCTACTGTACTCTACTCTACTGCACTCTCCTTACTCTACTCTACTGTACTCTACTGTACTGTACTCTACTGTACTCTACTCTACTGCACTCTACTGTACTCTACCCTACTGCACTCTACTCTACTCTACTGCACTCTACTGTACTCTACTGCACTCTACTGTACTCTACCCTACTGCACTCTACTCTACTCTACTGTACTCTACTGTATTGTACTCTACTCTACTGTACTCTACTGTACTGTACTCTACTGCACTCTACTGTACTCTACTCTACTCTACTGTACTCTACTGTACTCTCTACTCTACTCTACTCTACTCTCTAGCAGAGTAGAGTCAGTCTGAACACACATCCAGTCTTAAACCTAAGACATTATCTTTCGTTTCCAAAACAAAAGCTTCATGTTTTCTGCGGCTCGTTGCTGCTTCTCCTTTATCTACATTACTCTGTACAGTGTCTTTATTACTCTGCATTACTCTACAGTGTTTTTATTACTCTACATTACTCTCTACAGTGTCTTTATTACTCTGCATTACTCCGTACAGTGTCTCTGTAGAGTTTCTGGCCTTTCTCTGTACGTCACTCTTGCGTTTGGATGTTCTGAGGTGAAACTCCCAACGTCACTTTCACTATGTTTCCTTCTTGGTTTCCTTCTTGGTTTCCTTCTTGGTTTCCTTCGCCGCCTCACGTCTCCCGTCTCTCTTTCTTGCACTTCCAAACAGATTCAGTCCTGAAGCTGCGCCGCCTTCTCGGAGCCTGTCATTTTGCAGCGTGTCAAAGCACCACTTTTGCAAAGGAGAAAAAAACCCTCCAACAAACACATTATTTGTTCATATTTTTATTCCTTTGTGTTGCTCTCAGCCCCTTCTCCTAATAACGCATCATCTCTGCTAAAGCTCTCCAGTTGAACCGCTGCATCTGCCTCACAATTATGTCGTCTGCGGCGGAAAAAGCGGCAGAAGTCAGAGAGCTCCGACAGCAGAAAGACGACACGGGAACTTAAAGCTGCTTTGAAATGGAGTGTGTCTGACCCTAAGCTCAGTCTCGCACAGAATAGTATCGCCCAGAAGTGGTACTGTTATAAATAAGTATTCAAGTGCTTTAATGGTGTTTTCTGAGCTGAAATGAACTACAAAATATGTGGAAAACTTTGGGATATCTTTGCTCTATACCTCGTGTGGCTGATACTGGACGTGACATCACAGGAGCCATCTTGATTTTGGGTCCTCTTCTTTCTCCTCCAAAGTTTTGTCATGGCCCCAGAGCGACTGCCTGTTCCATTATCAGCCAATCATCATTTCCTGCATGTAACGTCTGGGTCTGGTCCCTGTGTTTGTGATTACAATCTGTTGAATTCCATCTGAGCAATCACAGACCGAGGGAGGCTGGTGTTGTAGTTAGATGTGGGTGGCGTCAAGAGTTTGCGTCGAACGGGAAGGTTGACGTTTGGCGAAGAATGTGATAGTAAAGTAATCCGGGCTGGTTCTATCAAGAAATTGAAGCCGGAGCAAGAGGAATGTTTAGAAAATGTAATCACTGGCAAAGAGTGTGGTTCTACTCAACACGGGCTCCGTTAGTGGCAAAGGAGATGGCTAAAGCTAGGCTAAATGCTGACGACTCACTCGGGCTCATTACATACGTCACAGTAAACTCAGATCCAATCGTTTCAATCTGCAAAAGGAGTTAGCCCCTCCCACCTGTTAACGGCGTCAATGGAGCAAATCCAGACCTTAGTATGAAATGAGTACTGTGGTGCGGTAAGACCAGGCTAGTACCGTCAATACCAATGATTTTTTTTTTTGCGTGCGAAGGCCACTAACTTATAAATGTCTCCAGTGTGAGATCAATACAGTCTGTCTTATCTTATCGTACACCTGGATTGTGAAAGCGTTTTGACTCTTTACAAAACAAACTCATAACCGCTTAAGCTACTTTTAGAACAATGGATTTATTTTAGTTATGTGTTTCTGCTGCGACGGGACACCTGCACTTCTCTCACGGGGATCGATAAAGTATCTACAAACTAAGGACAGAGGTAATTGGTTCCTGGTCGTTCCACTGTGTGTTATTGACGGTGTTGTTAACGTGACAGATAGATTACTCATCTTCATTCTGCCGCTGGTGCTCAAGAAATGCTCTTAGCTGGCCTTTCGACGCGGCGGCTGAGTAGTTAGCACTCAGCAAGAAAGGCTCTGGGTTCAAATCCTGGTCGCAGTAGTGGAGTTTGCATGTTATCCTTGCGTTTGCGTAAAAACATGCACAATAGGTCTGACTGTAGTGAGAGAGTGAATGGAGGGTGTTTGGTTGGAGGCTTTGATGGACCAGTGTGTTCTGGTCTCGCAATAGCTGAGCCCTGAACATAGTAAAGTGCTTTGGGTCTGTCCCTCGGTCTGTAAATAAGTCACTTTAAGTCACTAATGCACTCGGGCTGAAAAACCTGCTGCTATTGCCACTTTTTCTTTTATCGCCAATTATCTCCTGCACAGATATGTTTCACACTTTTGCACAATCGGATCCTATCTGTGCTAATGTGACATGTACATTTCTCCATCAGAGATCAAGAAGGTCTGTCTTATCTTAAAACTGTGCTGTATGAATAAAAAGGACTTACTTACTTTCACTTTGAGTTGCTGACGCTGTGTTCAAACATTTAACACAGTTTTTACAGCAGTCCGTCCAGCCCAGACCTGGATCCAGTTTTTTCTCTTCTGTTCGTACATAGTGCTGTCAGCGCCTGTGGGCTCTTCTCTTCCTTACCCCGGTCTTTTCTCTTCCTTACCCCGGTCTTTTCTCTTCCTTACCCCGGTCTTTTCTCTTCCTTACCCCGGTCTTTTCTCTTCCTTACCCCGGTCTTTTCTCTGTCTTACCCCGGTCTTTTCTATTCCTTACCCGGTCTTTTCTCTTCCTTACCCCGGTCTTTTCTCTTCCTTACTCCGGTCTTTTCTCTTCCTTACCCTGGTCTTTTCTCTTCCTTACTCCGGTCTTCCTTACTCCGGTCTTTTCTCTTCCTTACCCCGGTCTTTTCTCTTCCTTACTCCGGTCTTTTCTCTTCCTTACCCCGGTCTTTTCTCTTCCTTACCCCGGTCTTTTCTCTTCCTTACTCCGGTCTTTTCTCTTCCTTACCCCGGTCTTTTCTCTTCCTTACTCCGGTCTTTTCTCTTCCTTACCCCGGTCTTTTCTCTTCCTTACCCTGGTCTTTTCTCTTCCTTACCCCGGTCTTTTCTCTTCCTTACCCCGGTCTTTTCTCTTCCTTACTCCGGTCTTTTCTCTTCCTTACCCTGGTCTTTTCTCTTCCTTACTCCGGTCTTTTCTCTTCCTTACCCCGGTCTTTTCTCTTCCTTACTCCGGTCTTTTCTCTTCCTTACTCCGGTCTTCCTTACTCCGGTCTTTTCTCTTCCTTACCCCGGTCTTTTCTCTTCCTTACTCCGGTCTTTTCTCTTCCTTACCCCGGTCTTTTCTCTTCCTTACCCCGGTCTTTTCTCTTCCTTACTCCGGTCTTTTCTCTTCCTTACTCCGGTCTTTTCTCTTCCTTACCCCGGTCTTTTCTCTTCCTTACCCCGGTCTTTTCTCTTCCTTACTCCGGTCTTTTCTCTTCCTTACCCCGGTCTTTTCTCTTCCTTACCCTGGTCTTTTCTCTTCCTTACTCCGGTCTTTTCTCTTCCTTACCCCGGTCTTTTCTCTTCCTTACCCCGGTCTTTTCTCTTCCTTACTCCGGTCTTTTCTCTTCCTTACTCCGGTCTTTTCTCTTCCTTACCCCGGTCTTTTCTCTTCCTTACTCCGGTCTTTTCTCTTCCTTACCCCGGTCTTTTCTCTTCCTTACCCTGGTCTTTTCTCTTCCTTACCCCGGTCTTTTCTCTTCCTTACCCCGGTCTTTTCTCTTCCTTACTCCGGTCTTTTCTCTTCCTTACTCCGGTCTTTTCTCTTCCTTACCCCGGTCTTTTCTCTTCCTTACCCCGGTCTTTTCTCTTCCTTACTCCGGTCTTTTCTCTTCCTTACCCCGGTCTTTTCTCTTCCTTACCCTGGTCTTTTCTCTTCCTTACTCCGGTCTTTTCTCTTCCTTACTCCGGTCTTTTCTCTTCCTTACTCCGGTCTTCCTTACTCCGGTCTTTTCTCTTCCTTACCCCGGTCTTTTCTCTTCCTTACTCCGGTCTTTTCTCTTCCTTACCCCGGTCTTTTCTCTTCCTTACCCCGGTCTTTTCTCTTCCTTACTCCGGTCTTTTCTCTTCCTTACTCCGGTCTTTTCTCTTCCTTACCCCGGTCTTTTCTCTTCCTTACCCCGGTCTTTTCTCTTCCTTACTCCGGTCTTTTCTCTTCCTTACCCCGGTCTTTTCTCTTCCTTACCCTGGTCTTTTCTCTTCCTTACTCCGGTCTTTTCTCTTCCTTACCCCGGTCTTTTCTCTTCCTTACTCCGGTCTTTTCTCTTCCTTACTCCGGTCTTTTCTCTTCCTTACCCCGGTCTTTTCTCTTCCTTACCCGGTCTTTTCTCTTCCTTACTCCGGTCTTTTCTCTTCCTTACCCCGGTCTTTTCTCTTCCTTACCCTGGTCTTTTCTCTTCCTTACTCCGGTCTTTTCTCTTCCTTACCCCGGTCTTTTCTCTTCCTTACCCCGGTCTTTTCTCTTCCTTACTCCGGTCTTTTCTCTTCCTTACTCCGGTCTTTTCTCTTCCTTACCCCGGTGTTTTCTCTTCCTTACCCCGGTCTTTTCTCTTCCTTACCCTGGTCTTTTCTCTTCCTTACTCCGGTCTTCCTTACTCCGGTCTTTTCTCTTCCTTACTCCGGTCTTTTCTCTTCCTTACCCCGGTCTTTTCTCTTCCTTACCCTGGTCTTTTCTCT